GCTCACACCTGTAGTCTCAGAACTTTGGGAGGTTGAGGCGGGCGGATCTCAAGGTCAGGAGATTGAGATCATCCTGGCTAACATGGTAAAACCCCATCTCTACTAAAAATACAAAAAATTAGCTGGGCGTGGTGGCGGGCACCTGTAGTCCCAGCTCCTCAGGAGGCTGAGGCAGTAGAATGGCGTGAACCCAGGAGGTGGAGCTTGTAGTGAGCCGAGATTGCGCCACTGCACTCCAGCCTGAGCAACAGAGCAGGACTCCATCTCAGAAAAGAAAAAAAAAAAAGAAAAATGTATAAATTGGACTAATGAAAAAGCTTTTTTATGTGAAAGACACTGTTGAGTGGGGGAAAAAAAAAAAGCCACTGACTGGGAGAAAAAAAAAATCACCTATGAAAAGATATCTTTCATCCAGAACTCAAAACTCAACAATAAGAACAAAACCCAATTACAAAACAGATTTTAACAGATACTTCACCACAGAAGATTTAATCATTACAAAAATGCAAATTCAAACCACAATGAGATGGCACTATTCTCTGTTAGAATAACTGTAATTTAGAAAAATCACTCAGTGCTGGGAACTCTGTAGAGCAGCTGAAACTCTGATACATTCCTGGTAGGAGTGCAAAATGATAGAACCGCTCTGGGAAACAGGTTGGTGGTTTCCTATAAAGTTACTGTGTGACTCAGCAGTCTCTGCTGGATGGGTACCCGGGAGAAATGAAAGCTTATGTTCATGGAAAAAACCTGTGTGTAAATGTTCATAACAACTTTATCTGTAATAACCAAAAACTAGAAATGTTTCAAGTGTTCTTTAGCTTTTGAAAGAATAGGCCAGGTGGGGTGGTTCACACCTATAGTTCCAGCACTTTGGGAGGCTGAGGTGGGGGGATCACTTGGGGTCAGGAGTTCAAGACCATCCTGGCTAACATGGTAAAACCCCGTCTCTAATAAAAATACAAAAAATTAGCCGGGCCTGGTGGCAGGTGCCTGTAATCCCAACTACTTGGGAGGCTGAGGCAGGAGAATTGCTTGAACCCTGGAGGTGGAGGTTGCAGTGAGACCAGATCACACTACTGCACTCCAGCCTGGATGATGAGCAAAAATTCCATCTCAAAAAATAAATAAATAAATAAACTGTGGTACATCCATATAGTAAAATCTAGTCAACAATAAAAAGGGACAAACTATAGCTACATTAACTCCAGATGCATCATGCTAAATGAAATGATCTAAACTCTAAGGATACATGCTGTGTGATTTCATTTATATGAAATTCTAGAAAAAGTGAACTACAGGACAAAGAACAGATCATTGCTTACCGGGGATGAAGACTGGAGATGGGTTTTGACTGCACAGTAACAGCACAGGAGAATTTGAGTGAGTTGTGGAACTGTTCTTGAAGTGTCAGCAAGGACTGAGTAGTGGATTGAGTAAAGCAAGCAGACTCAAAGAATTTGCTTTAGAAGTATAAATTGTCTCGTTAGAATTCAACTATAAAGAGAAAAAATATATATAAATTGGTACAACCACTTTGGCGAGCTATTTCACATGTGCTCTGGTAAAGCTGAAAATAGTCACATGCTACCACACAAGTATACTTCTAGATTTATACCCAAATGAAATTGTCATACCTATGCATAATGAGAAGACAACAATGTTTACGGCAATATTAGCTAATTATAAAAGTAGAAGCAAGCTAAATGCCCAATAGGAGAATGGATACACAGTGATTTATTTCTATTATTGGTATGAGGTTTTAAAATATATGGAACAATACAACATATTTTTATAGATATGTAAGTATGAAAATATTAAATGTGCATTAAATAAGTGAAGTTAAACAATATTTATTAGATCTCCTTACTCTAAATTGAAATATTCCATGAAAAGATAATTCCATATTCACAAATTTTTTAGGGGTATTACCTGGAATATTGACTATAAAAGAATGTTGTATTGCTTTTAATAAAAGTAAATCAGTTATTTAAAGTTAAAAAAATTATACAGTTGACATGGGAATTGGATCAAATTTTAAAATTTTAAATGTTTAAATGTGTAAATAGGCCAGGCACAGTGGCTCATGCTTATAAACCCAGCACTTTGGGAGACTGAGACAGGTGGATCACTTGAGGTCAAGAGTTCAAAACCAGCCTAGGCAACATAGCAAAACCCCATCTCTACTAAAAATACAAAAAATTAGCCAGGCATGGTGGTGCACGCCTGTAGTCCCAACTACTCAGGAGTCTGAGGCACAAGAATCTCTTGAATCTGGGGGATGGAGGCTGCAGTGAGAGCCGTGATCATGCCACTGAACTCCAGCATGGGAGACAGAGTGAGACTCTGGCTAAAAAAAAGGAAACAAAAAAAAAGTGTAAATAGATGGTTTTATTTAAGAAATCTAAATTAAATGTTAAAGGTCACCATAACCCTTGAATACTAAATGTGAGAAACTAGTTAATGGGTGATGTTTAAGAAAAATATCCATTTATAAATATGAAAAGGAAGCCAGTCACGGTGGCCCATGCCTGCAGTGCCAGCACTTTAGGAGGTCAAAGCAGGAGGATCACTTGAGCCCGGGAGTTCAAGACCAGCCTAGACAATACGGCAAGACCCTGTCTCTATTTTTTAAATTAAAATATATTTAAAAAATAAATATACAAAAGAAGGCATTGGTGTTTAAGAGTATACATTAGTGTTTTAGTCCACTTTTATCAGTGGCCTTTTCATGATAGTAGCTTTCTGGGGATTTCATTTCTGTTGGGGTCTTCAGGGGCTCCAATAAATAGCATCCCTTTTCTCTGCTGGAGTGCTGAACCAATTGAGAAATAAAAGTGTCAGCATGTAGGGAGTCGGAAAAGCCTCTTTACCATAGTGAAAGCTAGGATAGAGAGAGCAACGCAGAGAGATGATCTAATTAGTGTTGCCAACTCCTTACCCACCAGTTCTACCTCTCACCGAAGTCTAGAACAGCCCATTCCACTCCAGGGAAAGTTCACATCTGCAGAGCAGACCGGCCTACCCAGTCCCACTTCCTATGGGGGGAGGGAGAAAGAAACCAAACTCCCACCATCCAGGTAACTTGCCCTGCCTCCCTGGGTAGGATACAGGGATAGAGTAAGAGGTCACTTACTTGATAAAAGATGCAAGTAAAAGATCCCTTCTCATGCAATCTGGAGTAAAAGAAAAGTAGTTTATGCTCTTCTCTCAACATTTCAATTTGTCAGATTTACGTTATGAATATTTCCCAAAAATTTGTTGAATTAAACAATTTAATATTTACAATAGAAAAGTGCTATGATTTGTTATAGTTTATCTTCATGTTTTTTAAAAAATATGTCTTTGAAGAGCATTTACTATAGCCTTATATAATACTGTATTTATTTGGATTAAAAGAAAAGCAGAGAGTAAATATAAATACTTGAGACAGCTTGATTATTTTACTGATACTTCTACCAAGTCATAATTTTACAAGCCTAGTCACTTTCTCATTGCCTGCCATGAGCAAGAATTATGCTGGATGAAACTGAGCCAGTGACCTTCCATTGGAAGACATCACAGTCTAGTGGAAAAGGGAAGTTATTACAGCATTAGTGCTCCCTACCACAGAGTGTGAGCAGAGGGTTTGGGTTATATAAGTGATGGAAAACTAATGAGAACTGATGATGTATTTAAGAAAACATATTGCTTCTATGTTAAAATACATGCATGAAGAGTTTGTAAAGTTTTTGAACTGGAAATCCCATTTCATTACCAATTTTCCACCACTCTTACGGAAGTGGTGAACCAGTCATTTCAAAGAAACCAAAATTATTTAGTCAAAATTTAATTCTTTAAGCTGTATTTTGTAAGTTGTTCTCTCTTAGTGTTATGCCATCAAGGTATTTGGTGGAGTGGGGGAGAATATATGACATAACATTTTTGTTTTATTAATCCCTTTGAATTAAAGGGTAGGGGTGGCATACTGCTCCCTCAGAGTAATAGCTAGGAAGTGAATACTCGTTAGATGTCTTGAATGGCAATTCAGAGGTAATCTTTATTTACTCACTCAAATTTTATTTTAATCGTAGAGTCACATATGAGCGACTAGAGCCCAAACAGGGAACACTGTGTGAGTATGTAAAGCACCTCATGGAATGGGAAGGACGCACATTTAGAGTCAGACCAACCTGGGTTTAATCCTTGCCACCGAATAACAGATTCATCTCTGCCCACAAAAAAAACATGATACCTACTTCATTAGGCTCTTCTGGAGATTAATGTTTAAAATCCAAGTTCACAATGTAAGAGAAATTGTCAAACAACAATGGATCGAGAGTGTTTAGGAAATAACTTAGTACCATTTAGCTATAAAATTTGAATGGGGGGATGCTAACAGAGCTTCCTTTGATAGTACAGTTGATGTCTGCCTGTCTGAAAATGCAGATATTGTTAAGAGGTGAAATCATAAAGCAACCATGTAGAACAGTAGGATATTGTGTAAATAAATAATACGACATCTGGGAATAGGTATGGCTAAGAATACAGATAAAAACATTTTTATATGATACAGCTAAAGTAGGATGTGTATGTCTTACAATTAAACACAGGTTTTTTAAATGTGCAGAAAAACTGAAAAGAAATTCACCAATCACATGCATTGTTGGAATAATAGAATTATGAGTGATTATTTTATTTTCTCCCCTGTCCAGTACCATGAGATTGCTTTTATAATGAGAAAAATGTGAGATAGTTATGCCTTGTGAACAAAAAGTTTCTTCTCTTTATAGACAAAACACAAAGTAAGTTCCTTAATGCTTGGTTCCATTATTAAGACAACCAAAGAAACAGATCATTAATCTTAGTTCCTCTAACTATTAGGCATCAGCCATTTATCTATTATGGTTTTCTGTCAGCTGTTATTATTTGGTGTACCATGTTGTCTGTGGAAAATAGAAATGGAAAAATTCAAATTAATGTATCTTTTTAAAAGCAGTGTTTTTGTGTTAATACTACAGATTTATTTGAGGTTCCTAGATTATCAAATGGAGCACTCAAATGAATGCAAGAGAAACTTCGTTGCAGTCTATGATGGAAGCAGTTCTATTGAAAACCTGAAGGCCAAGTTTTGCAGCACTGTGGCCAATGATGTAATGCTTAAAACAGGAATTGGAGTGATTCGAATGTGGGCAGATGAAGGTAGTCGGCTTAGCAGGTTTCGAATGCTCTTTACTTCTTTTGTGGAGCGTAAGTAAATAATTCCTATAGTATTGAGATCTTTTACATATTGTTCACTCATTCACAATGCACGCAGCATTTACTTTTTAAAAATATTTATTTTAGGATGTATTTTTTTGTTTTATTATAGCTCTTTTTAATGCAAGAATATTAAATTTAAAATGTTTTAAATTTTATTTAATTTTTGGAGATGGGGTCTTGATTTGTTGCCCAGGCTGGCCTTAAACTCCTGGGCTCAAGCGATCCTCTGCTTCACCCTCCCAGGTAGCTGGGACTACAGGCACATGGCACTATACCAGACAGCATTTACTTTTGACAAAAATATGCAAGTCACAAGGTAGAAGCAACTGTATCTTGGTCCCTGTTCTCTTGGAATGGACTGTCATGGGTGAAAAAACCATGTTAGCATATCAATTGGAACACTCATTATAAAGGTATAAACAAGTGGTAGAGATTGCAGACAGGGAAGACTTACACTTTCTCTCAAGATTTTCTAACTTAGTAGTAGTATTAATTTAGCTTGGTGAATAGTTATGAATCCATGAAACTATGGTCATCAAAGATTTAGATATGCCATAGATCTTTTTCTTTTTAAATAACTTTAAACTTACAGAACATTATAAAAATGATAGAGTTCCCTATGTGCCATTCACTCAGATTCCCCTAATGCCAACATCTCTCAAAGCCGGAGTAAAACTGAAAATTAACACAGATAACACTATTATTAACTAAGCTATAGACCTAATTCCAGTATCTCTAGTTTTGCCATGAAGGTCCTCTTTATGATCCAGTTTCCCATATTGCTTTTAGTTGTCAAGTATCCTTAGCCTTCTCCATCTGTGACAGTTACTCTGTCTGTGTCTTTCCTTGGCACATTGTCAAGAGTACTAGCCAGTGTAGTAGAACGTCCATCAGTTTGAGTTTGTCTAATGTTTCCTAGGGATTCCACCGAGGCTGTGTATTTCTGTCAGGAATACCACAGAAACTGTGGTGCTCTTCTAACTACATCATGTCAGTGAAGCAGGGGTACATGGTATCATTTTGTCTTATTGCTGGTAATGTTAACTTTGATCACTTCCTTAAGGTGCTGCCAGTTTTCTTCACTAAAAAGTTGCTATTTTTTTTCTTGTCTAATTAATAAGTCTCTTTGAGTCTATGCCGACATCTCCTCACCCACTAATTTTAGCATCCATTGTTGGCTTCTGCCTGTAACAGTTACTACTGTAGGGTTTACCTGATCATGATTTTCTGTTTCCATCATTCCTTCTGTATACGTTAATTAGCATTCTGCTGTGAGAAAAACTATCCCTTTTCCTCACTTATTCAGTTATTAATAATTACATCAGTATGGGCTTATGGATATTTTATTTTATTCTGTTATAATATTAATAATATTATTATTATGACCAGGCATCGTGGCTCACGCCTGTAATCCCAGCACTTTGGGAAGCCGAGGCAGCAGATCACTTGAGGTCAGGAGTTCGAGACCAGCCTCAGCAATGTGGTGAAACCCCCGTCTCTACTAAAAATACAAAAATTAGCTGGGCATAGTGGCAGGTGCCTATAGTCCCAGCTACTCAGGAGCCTGAGGTGGGAAAATCACCTGAGCCCAGGAGGTCAAGGCTGCAGTGAGCTAAGGTCACACCACTGCACTCCAGCCTGGGTGACCAGAGTGAGAATGTCTCAAAAAAAGTTATTTTTCTATGATAGTAACATTATTTTGTTGCTCAAAACCCAAGCTTCAGCCATTGGAAGCTCCTTCAGTTTGCCTCCTGTGTCCTCTCAACGTACCCAATTAATAGTTTTTTAATTATTTTCTTACTTTATGGCAATTCTGGATGAACCAGGCTCAACTTGTGTTTTCTCTGACCCAACCCTAGATCAACCGTATTTCCAAGGAGCCCTTTCTTCATCTTACAGAGAGAAACCTGACTAACTTATCTAAAATGGATTAATTTGTTTAATCCTAATATACACAAAAAGTAACTTCACAATTGCTAATCCATATCCCTTTGAGAAATTTCCTAACAAAGTACCTTATGTACAGTTCTTTTTGTGTTTAGTTTTACTGTCAAGATACTGTTTTCCAGGTACTCAGGCTAGTGGTTTATATTTCATTTTGTGCCCCCACATCATGGTTTCTATACATTGTTTTTATGTGGGGGTTCTGGGAACATAACTGTTGTTCCTAGAGAGCCCACATCCCAAGAGGGACACTTGGAAGTGTCCTTGACTCCTTCATTCTCTGCCTTCCATTTCTACCCTCTCTCTGGATTTCTTTTTGCACAAATGAGCAGATACATGTGTATTTTCTTATGTGGCATTTTTTCTTACTTGAAGGACAGCATTATTCTTTTACACTTTATTTTTTCAACTTAAAAGTATGTCCTGGTCAGGTGCAGTGGCTCACACCTGTAATCCCAGCACTTTGGGAGGCTAAGGTGGGCGGATCACTTGAGGTCAGGAGTTTGAGACCAGCCTGGGCAACATGGAGAAACTCCGTCTCTGCTAAAAATACAAAAATTAGTGGCCGGGCACGGTGGCTCAAGCCTGTAATCCCAGCACTTTGGGAGGCCGAGACGGGCGGATCACGAGGTCAGGAGATCGAGACCATCCTGGCTAACACGGTGAAACCCCGTCTCTACTAAAAAATACAAAAAACTAGCCGGGCGCGGTGGCGGGCGCCTGTAGTCCCAGCTACTCGGGAGGCTGAGGCAGGAGAATGGCGTGAACCCGGGAGGCAGAGCTTGCAGTGAGCTGAGATCCGGCCACTGCACTCCAGCCTGGGCGGCAGAGCGACTCTGTCTCAAAAAAAAAAAAAAAAAAAAAAATTAGTAGGGCATGGTAGCATGCGCCTATAATTCCAGCTACTGGGGAGGGTGAGGCATGAAAATCACTTGAAACCAGGAGGTGGAGGTTGCAATGAGCTGAGATCAGGCCATTGCACTCTCCAGTCTGTATGACAGAGTGAGACCCTGTCTCAAAAAAAAAAAAAAAAAGTATATCCTGGAAACCATTCCATATCAATTCATAGAGCACATTTTTATTTTATAGCTGCATAGTAGAGCATTGTATATACCAACTTTATTTTATCTTCTACTTATGTTGGGCATATAGGTTATTCCCAGTATTTGCAGTTATAAACAAGCTGCAGTGAATAATGTTATGTGTATGTCTTTCTGTATTGTTGGAGACATGTCATCAGGATAAATTCCTGGTAGTGGGATTGTTTGGTTAAAAAAAGTTGTGTAGTTTGGTTAGATATTGCCAAATACCCTTGCAGGAGGGTTGTAGCTTTCTTTTTTTTCAATTGCGGCAAAATATACATGGTATAAAATTTACCCTCAGTCACTTTTAAATGTACAAATCAGTGGCATTAAGTATATGCTCATTGTTGCGCAACCATCACCACTTTGTCTGGAGCATTTTTATCATCCCAAACTGAAACTCTATACCCATGAAACAGTTCCTTCCCGTTTTTTTCTCTCTCCCTACGCTGGTAACCTCTGTTCTACTTTCTGTCTCTATGAATTTCCGTATTCTAGGTAACTCATAGTAGAATCATATAATATTTGTCCTTTTATATCTGGCTTACTTCGCTTAGCATAAGGATTTCAAGGTTCATCCATGAAATCTTTTCATGGTTCATCCATGTGGTCATATGTATCAGAATTTTATTCTTTTTTTAAGGCTAAATATTCCATAAGTAAATGCCACATTTTCTTTATACATTCATTCATCTGTTGATGGATGCTTGATTGTTTCTACCTTTGGGTTATGATGAGTAATGCTGCTGTGTAGAATTGTTGGATCATATGGCAAATCTGTGTTTAAGTTTTTGAGGAACCAGCAAACTTTTCCACAGTCGCTGCACCATTTTATTTACACACCGACCAGCAGCACACAGAGGGTTCCGGTTTATCCACATCTTCACCAATACCTGTTATTTTTGGTACTTTTGGATAATAGCCATCCTAATATGTGTTAAGTAGCATCTCATTGCGGTTTTGATTTGCCTAACGATTGGTGATGTTGAGCATTTTTCCATGGGCTTCTTGGCTATTCATGTATCTTCTTTGCAGAAAGGTCTCTTCACGTCCTTTGCCCGCTTTTGAATTTTTTTTTAAGTTGTAGACGTTCTCTGCATATTCTGGATATTCGTCCCTTATTGTGTATGTGATTAGCAGACTTTTGCATTCTGTTTGTTGCCTTTTCACTCCTTTGATACAGTGTCCTTTCACGTACAAAAGTTTTTAATTTTGATGAAGCCCAATGTAATGTGGTTTTTGTTGTTGTTTGTGGTGTGATAATCCAAGAAATCACTGTCAAAACCAATGTCATGAAGCTTTTCTCATACGTTTTCTTCTGAGAGTTTTATAGTTTTAGCTTTTGTAATACGTTTAGGTCTTTGATCTATCTGGAGTTAATTTTTGTATATAGTGTAAGTTAAGGCTCCAACTTCATTCTTTTTCATGTGGATATCCAGCTTTCCCAGGATCATTTTTTGAAAACACTGTCCTTTCCCATTGAATGGTCTTGACACCCCTGTCAAAAATCAATTAGACCTGGGCACAGTGGCATGAAATGTGAATGAACCATGAATAGCCAATCTGTAGTCCCAGCTATACAGGAAGCTAAGGCAGGAGGATTGCTTGAGTCCAGGAGTTTGAGACCAGCCTGGGCAGGAGTTCAAGACCAGCCTGGTCAACATAGCAAAACCCCATCTCTGTTTTTCTTTAAAAAAAAAAAAAAAAAAAAGACCGGACACAGTGGCTCATGCCTGTAATCCCAGCACTTTGGGAGGCCCAGGTGGGTGGAACACCTGAGATCAGGAGTTTGATACTAGCCTGGCCAACATGACAAAACCCCATCTCGACTAAAAATACAAAATTTAGTCAGGCGTGGTAGCACACGCCTGTAATCCTAGCTTCTCAGGAGCCTGAGGCAGGACAGTCGCTTGAACCTGGGAGGTAGAGGTCACGGTGAGCCAAGATTGCGCCACTGCACTC